GAAAGTCAGTTGACTACTGGCCCGATTTCATTAAAGAAAGAAAATTCGTGCAACGTGTCAATTAGAAATCAGGTCTTTGAAACAGACCTGGGTACACGAATCTGACTTGATTCGAGTATTAGTGAAAATAAGAAGTTGTTTTAATGCGATTTAATTGTTTGTGATAACCAACAAAGAGCGCACTGGACAGCTGTTTCGTCCTGTTTTGGGGACTCGTCAACAGTGCGTACTTTTCCTGTGTTCCTGTCAGGACCCGAAACGTGAACAGTCAGGTAGTGACTTCAAATCGTTACCCCTGAGCTACACGGTTGACGGTCATCACCTGGTGCGAATAGCTCAATCACTTTTAGAGTATCATGCTTGGAGTAGCCCATATGACTATCCAGAGACATCACGCCCTCCTGATGTTCTTCGGTGTGGGTTTCACTCTTTGGGAGATCTTAAATTTCCCACTAGTTGAATGCATTCTAATGAGATGGAAATGTCTGTGATAATAGACAACTGTGAACGCCCCACTAACGCACAGACTTGGTATCACCTTGAACTATCATAACCAAAATAATGTGCATTTCTTGCAATCTGAGGGACAAGTTTCTGAAAACCAACCAAAAACCGAATTTTCATGAGGACAGGGAGAGAGAGAGAGAGGAGAGATCATCTGCGTCAAATGCTAGTCAAATGTGCCTTGACTTAACCGGGTCAATTCGTTCGTCTTCGTGAAACAAAATTTGTTCTCTCTCTCTCTCTGTCTTGTTCAATCTGATCACCATTTTAGCAATTTACAATGATAATGATACAAGCCTAAAATGTTATTCGGTCGACTTACAATCTTCTATTAAAACAGTCAATGACTGCGTCCATTATTTATTTGTACTCTCGTCTGTAATAATTAGAATACATTTTTGTTATTCATTTTGGGGTGATGCAAAGTGAGCAGTTCGAACCCATGGACACCAGAAAAAAAAATCTTCGAACAGGTAATAGCAAGCCATTAACTTGAACTGGACGAAAGCGAAACTGCCCGCCACCGAATTTACTGGCAAAACCGAAGTTGATCATCTCATTGTTCCCCTTATTGAATAAACGAGGGCTGAGTAAAACAGCTTGCGGATACGCAGTGTACATGACGACGATTACGACGTGCAGATGACCGGGAAAGCAAAACGTGAACTATTGTCAATATGATTCATCGATTACAACTCACAGAGCCAAATATCAACAGCAGGGCACAGCCCACAAGTCATGCGAGGGTCACCAAATTCGGACGGTAAGGATGGAACTCAATCGATGCGACTGGAGGGCAGTGATTTTCTACAACTACAAATATGATTTAAAACAGTAGCAGAAAGTTAATCGTTTGCATGTTGTTTTTGGTGATCACGCGCTTTCAATTAGCATTGTGTTTGAGTGGGTTGGCGGAATCCAGGCGTTGTAGGCGTTCCCTGGATGATGAAACGTAGTGTAGTTGACCTGCAGAGAGCACCAAAGCGGACAACATTGCTGCTGTACAAGCGATGGCGGAGGGGATGCGCAGGTGACAGTGACACAGCTGACGAAAGCCATCGGGATCAATCCGTACCATCCTTCACGACAAACAAGCTCAGTCTAAGAAGGGTTTACACACGTTGGGTACCCTATCAGCTCAGTGAGGAACCAGCTGGGCTGAATTGGTGTCACTATACGCTTCCCAGATTTGATGGTGGACGTTCGGATGCAGTTTGCCAGATCATCAGTGGA